ATAATGCTTTAACATGGAAAACTGATGTGGGCCTTAGAAGGATCTTTTAAGGATGCTTTAGGTATACAAAGTCAAATCTTGTTATAGAAAATTAATAAGATCTGAAAGCGTGTAATAAAATTATCATAGTTTAGTGTTGCTTTAGTAGATACGCTCTATCTGGTTCTTTTAAAGATTTTTTAATTATACCGCAATCAAAAACAAATTTTATTAGTTTCATTGGTTGCCATATTCATTAATCTCTTCCAAGGATTTTTCTAGTATTGTCTTCGTTTTTAAATGTAGCACACTTTAATATAAAAATAGTAGCAGAATTTTTATGCGTAAAGAATGCTATATTTTATTGTAAAGTATGCTATATTTCTACAATAAAAAATTCTTGTTGCATACTAACAAGGTTATAAAAATTGCAGTCTAAATTTCTTGGAATGAAAAGAACGAATATTTTTATTCCAACAATAATAAAAATATTTCCTCATAAGGCCCTATTAATATCGCCTTATAAGGCCCTGTTGATATTGTCTTATAAGGCCCTTATAATATTGCCTTATAAGGACCCGTTAAACCATTTGTTACACATCTCATCTTAGGGTCCTTGTCTTTCTATCCCTACTAGGACCCGATTAATGTTATGAAAAAATAATCAGAGCCTTACCAGAGAGCCCTATTAATTTTCCTACTCGGGTTGTAATGATGAAGAAGAAATAACGACAAGCCCCGTATCTCTCATTTTTGATACTCAAATCGGCGGTGTCTCGAGTGCATCCGAATTCACCGGGAACGACGACGAATCCCTCGCGTCAACCTAATGGTCGACGTGTTGCTCTATTCAACATGCGACACGTACGATCGTGTGCGTGCGTATGTTTTGTAAATATAACGTACCGGGGGAGAAAAAAGAAACGCGCGCAGACACCCGACGCGCGCGCGCGCGCGTATTCGTAACTCATATGCATAAGCCGTGGTGCATCGTGCGCAGTGGGTTTCAACTGTACTTCACTGGCGTAAAACAAACCTCACGGAATAGCGAAACCAAGCGGCTCCGTGTCATCTTTGAAACTGACTGCCTGCTACGTGCGACGAAAATTCATGCAGAGCGCGGTAACTATAGCCGGCGCGGCGCGACGCGGCTATTCAGGTAGATAGCACGGTGAAACTTCCGGTCAGAAGTTACGCCCGTCGCCGGGTCTCGGCGGAAACTTATTCTCACCTTGAGAAGTGGAAAGAGAATCGGGAGGAAGAAGATGAGCGAAAGTAAGAAAGGGAGATTACTAGCAAGTGGCCGCGCAGCTCGATAAATAGTCCGCCATTAATACAGCCGTCGGATAAATTTGAATAGCGCCGGCTTTGTCTACCTGCAGCCGCGTGACGGCACATTGAAGTCTAACGGGGAACTACTCGGACCACGAGCTGCTTGTGGCGAATAAATGCGCGATGATTTGTATCTTTCAACCAACTTCGATACGTCGGCTCTCAAACGGTTCTAGTCGCGATTTATTCCTCGGGAAACTATCTATCTATTCCCGTTGCTGGGAATCGCTCTCTGGAAGGGAGAGAGCCAATGCCGACTTTTGCCGATTTTTAGACCCGATTTTAAAAAGAATAGAATACAGTTGAAATCGGAGTTTCTGACCGGCCAAAATTGTCCTAATTTATTTTGTGTTTCCTTTCAACGTACGCTCGGAACTTCCGCTACAGAGTTCAGCTGATTTTTATCGCAAGAATTCGTAAGTTTCTGTTAGAGAGGCAAATCTAAAACGCGAAATACAATGATGAAGATAACGATTTCCAGCAAAATATTACGTAGAGATTCGAAATGTTTCAAAACATTTGGAACTACTGACTACTATATCAGTAGTATCCGTTAGTTTCAGAGTTTACTTTCTTATCTGGATAAAAATATACACAGATGATCGTCCAATTAAAATTCCAGCACCAATTTATCTTCACTTGAAGACTATAAATATATATTCTGATATTTTAGAGACACAGAGAAATGTTTGATTTCCAGATTTGTACCGCGTTCATTTCGGATATGTTTCCGACGTTTCGTAAACATGCCAGTTCACTTCTTCAGAGAGAGAGAGAGAGAGAGAGAGAGAGAGAGAGAGGGAGAGGCAGAGGGAGAGGGAGAGGGAGAGAGGGAGAGGGAGAGGGAGAGAGGGGGAGGGAGAGGGAGAGGGGGAAAGAGAGAGAGAGGCGGAGGGGAGGGGGAGAGAGGGGAGAGAGGGGGAGGGGAGAGAGGGGGAGATGGGGGAGGGAGAGGGGGAGGGAGAGAGGGGAGAAAGAGGGAGGGGGGAGAGGGGGGAGAGGAAGGGGGAGAGGGAGAGGGGAGAGAGGGGTGAGAGAGGGGGAGAGTGAGAGGGGGAGAGGGGGAGAGAGAGGGGGAGAGAGGGGGGGGGAGAGAGAGAATCACCAAAAAACTGTGAGTTTCTGATTGAGATGGGCGCGGCATACAAACTCGGAGATCAAATCAAATAAATATATATTATCCTCGTCTGCATCTTAAATTGTGAAAACTTTTATCTTTACAAAATTGTTTAAGATACCGTTGATAGATAATCAAATACGCGTTGCTGCAAACGTGTAAAATATAAAAATACATGTTTTCACGTTGTAAACTCAGTCTACGTTAGTACTACATTTGTCAGGCGGCGTCGAGACTGAGATTGCATTTTGGGATTCATCTATAAGCGGAGCAAAGTGTTGAGAAAAATTTACCTTGTTTCATCTCTCTCTTATATCTTCATCTAACCAATTTTAAAATCATCTAAGCACAACGCTACGGATAGTTTCTGGCCGGTGTAGTCGAATACCACTTAGATACGTAATAGCCAGATATTTGCCAGCTGTTATTAATCAGCAGATTTCGTTCTTTCCTTTTCCAAGATACTATCTACGCACTGTCCAAGCAAGACAAGTGTCTAAAAAGCTTTTCCTTTCTCGAAGATGTCTTTAAAGCGTGCTTTAGGCACGCTCTTGTCGTTTGGGCTATCAGGACAACTCGCTCTAACAATCCCGAAATGGTCTCTTAAGTACATAATACGGTATTATAGCGCCCCAACTTCCGCGCTTGCGCTCTCTCCTCTAGTCTAGCTCTATAAATTGTATGTGAGTTGCCCAAGTTAGCATTCTAATAATTCCTCCCGCGCTGGTAGCTACGATACCTCTTGTGTATCTTGAAAATTCGTGCCGCACGACGGAGAGTAGTATAATGTAGCCTGAGGCTAATTACAAAGAAAAAAATGACACCGGAGACGATGAGACAACATTAAGATAATGAAATACACGAAACGGTTCTTTAATAATCGACCACTTTTATTCTACCAATATTCGCGAACACAATACTCTGATAATATTTCTCTCCGTTCAATAACACGCCTATTTTAATTCCATATAATATGTTAATGTAATACGATATACTTGCAACTTGGCGGTCATATTTCAATATATTTATTGTTGTACAACGCAGAAATATATATATTGAACGTTTAATGATCGATATCAGTGTATCGGTTGATACAATGTTTTTATCTGGTGAGAAAACCTTTCGCATTACCGTCAAATTATCATAGTTGATATTGCATTTTTCGTTTATTATGCAATATTTAATCATTATTATCGAAATTTGCGTTCGAAAATTGCGAACAGGTATAACTCTGAGACTTCCTCCGATATCGTCCTTCTTTTCTCCTCTTTTTACACCATATAATCTCACCATCCAACTCTCCGAATGTGTGCCAACTGCAATTTAAAAACTAATAAAACATATACAAGAGACAATGAAACAACAAATGTAGAGACATCGCAAATCTAACGAGAGACAGAAGACGCTATGGTCCAACGTAAAATCGGGACGGAAGGCACGAACCTCCGTAAACAATAAGCCATACGTGTAAGTAGTGAACTAATAAGCGAGCAATGAAGTAACTTTCTCGGCAAACTTTAATCTCTTCTTCAATGTACTCTGTAACTTCCTCGTCTCATTGATGAGACGTGGAAGTTTCATCGTCCGCTACCGGGGATATTTTCCAGAGCTTCCAATGCTCTCAGACAGTACATTTCGCGCACACATTTCAACCTCCACTTCGAATAACATTGTTGAACACACGCGGTCTAAAGTTACTCTTTAGATCTACGAGAGAGACGGTAGCACAATATTGATTACGTTTCAACCACATACGGTGCGAGCGATTATAGCAGTTATTACAAATCGCCGTGATGAGACTTTTCACACGTGCCATTATTAACAAGTTGAAAACTGACCAACCAATTCGTTTAAACTGGCCGGGCAACTAATTCATTTAATCTTTTACCAATTCTCGATAATGCTCGATAATAATTTATTCGCGTAAAAAGCACTGCTTGCTCGACTGTTAAAGGAATAATACCACATTTAAGTGATAAAAATGTATGGAAAATGCGGAATCGACACATTCATTGTAGTCATAAAGGATTATTACCGCGAAATCAGGTGATTTTGCTTCATTTGACAAATATGAAAAATCTTTTGCCTCACAGCGATATTATAAAGTGACATAAAAATCAAGCGAGGAATTGCATAATTACGTTATTCGATACACCCTTGTGCCGTTAATGAAGCTAAAACACTCTTATCCCTGTATAACGTTCATAATCCTCAATTATTCTGCTCAATTTACCATTAATATATCCCAAGATAGTGGGATGAGAGTGGAAGTTCCGTATAAACTGCAGTCAAGATTGATTACATCCTCTCTCCATAGTATACATAATTCTATGAACTCACCTGCTGATTTACGCTCTTAGTATCTCATCTCGTGAAGCAAAGCAATTCAAAGTGCTAAATCATAATTAACGACATGATCAAAGCGCGAAATTTGTTATGGTAACGTCTGTCAAGTGTGAGACAATCGAGAAGTAATGTTCAAGCTTGAAGATAAAATATCTTTATAATAAAATCTTGAACTGATTTCCGAGCAAGATCAAAATCCGACTAATTAAAACATAAGACTCTTACATTTACTTGTCGTTTCGAAAAGTTTATTTGTCGGATCAATATTCGTCATTCAATTTTTCATCATCGATCTTCAACATCTTGTACTTTGTTGCGTGCTATTACCAATGACATTCTTCCTCTATTATAATATACCGTCATTATTGATAATCGTAATATAACCAGAGCATGTTGAAGAAAGGTAAAGGAAAAAGGTACCCATTTTATGATTATCACAATTAGTATCGATATATATATCTTTAAACATTTATATGTGAACCAAGTACATAATTCTCTTCAACGCTAACAGCATTTATTTTATAATTAAAATATTAGTGAATCACAATATAATAATTTAGAGTTATATTGTGTCCATGTACACATATTGTATATACGAATTAGTCTCTTATTATATTTACACAATATGTTATATAAGAATACATAAAAACTATAAATTATTATACTGCAACTCACTCTAATACTTCAATTATGAGATAAATATTGCCAATAGGAAGATTATTATATGTATGCGTAGATATACGTACGCGTCACATATAATTAAATTTATCACTTACGATTAAATATATCAACTTTGGTTTATAATAACGTCATCAAAAATACGTGATATAGTCGAAGGTAATTCACCGTAACTTTCGAAACATTTGCTGCCACATCGATCGCATATCATACTTTAGCAAGTAAGAAAAGATCGATTTATTAAGCATCTTATATGTGTAATATAATGTATAACAGTAATAGAAAAGATTAGTATATATATTATCGTCGAATATAGAACACATTTTTCTAGTCGGCCGACATTTAAAATGTTTACAAACATCATTATTCAAGAACAAACAACATCGGAACACGATGATATAAAAGAGAGTTTTCATAGAAAAGGATAAGTAATTAAGGTTTTAGGAAACGAGTAACTTCCCGTAGAAGACGAGATTCAACATTGTATAAATATACTAATTGAGTGTCAGTAAGTTCCCCCAAGTCGAGGAACATTTTCACTCGAGAGAGAGTTAGATACGATGGAAGACATTTAGTATATGCGGTAACAATGCATTAATAAAAGATCCTTGAAAGTACGCGACGAAAGTACGTTGATAAAATTAACATTCGTCTCGCCAATCGAAATGTCAGTTTCAATATTCAATATTTTTCCCTCTTTGGCGTGCATATTATGTATATATGTATATATCGGCAAACAGAGTAGTTAGGTAACTACATATACCGGTACTGTCAGCAGTAGCAGAAACTGCTAGACGGTGGGGTGTCGCTCTCGTGACATCTTAAAACTTTTTGATGCGGCAACACCATCTTGTCCACCGTGGTCTCCATTCTGCGCATTACGCAGTCTAATAATAAATCCACAGCGAGCTCGATGTTTTCCCCGGTTGCAGCACTTGTCTCCAAATAGATCAAGCTGAAAAAGAAAGATTTTCGCATTACATACAAGTACATTATTTTAAAAGAATATTTAAAAGATTAAATATTTTAAAAGAAATAACAAAAATACACAGTCGACTCGACGAAATATAACAGATTTTCTTTTTTAAACAGCAACAGACGCTTTCTTGCTACTTTCGATTCGACTTACCCATGCTTCTTAGCGAGGTCTAGTGCCTTGTCCTTGCTGACGACGCGTTTATCCTCAAGATCGGACTTGTTGCCACAGAGAATTATGTCTGGATCATCGCAATACGCGTGTGTCTACATGTATGAAGTCATAAAAATATAGCATGTTAATTCAATGAATGCAAACATTTCCGGAGGAAATCGCATTAGACTACAAGATTCCGTGCAATACAAACACAATGTACTTTAAATCATAGAATAAATATACTCAATTATTTGGAAATCCAGGAATGTTTCAGCACTTCTTACAAAAAATATCTTGCAATCCAGTGATATGAAATATCCATCAATTTAAAAATCGAACGATAACTTGAGCCATAGAGGATAGGAGAATATATACATGTACTTACCATAAAAAAATACAAAATATTTATGAATATTTAATTAAAACATCGCTGGAACGCTTACAAATTTTTCCATGCACTAAATTTGTGCAGTTTGACGTCACATTTATGTAAAAGAAAGAAATGAAATATGAAAATTCAATTAAAAAATAACATTTTGCAAAAATTTTTAAATACATTTGACATGTTTTCCTTCTTTCAGATTCACATTCTGATGTTATCAGGACGAATAGATATTTATATAGTTTCAATAGATAATATATTTTTTACTTTGCTTCATATATCTATATTTGGAGACTAAATACTTCAATTTCATTGAATATAAAAAGGTGTAACAGGCTATTTAATTCCCTCAATCTTACCAAACTGTGTGAAATGTTTGAAATGTCCTGCAATGCTAGCAATTCCTGCAGGCATTATATTCTAACATAACATCACATCAATGAATGCCCAATTGCTCAAGATAAACTAAGCAGACAAAATGTTCTATCTGTTTGAAATGATACACTAATGCCTATAATAATAATATAATAATGCCTATAATAATAATATAATAATGCCTATATAACGATTATAAATGAATGACTATACATTAATGACAATCCATATGCTCCATCTTACTTTCAAAATCATGCATGAACAATACAATTAATAATGAGTAACAACATTCACAGATATTACAATATAAATATGAGAGAATATTGTGTAGCTAAAGAATCACTAACAGTGCGTCAACTCAAAGAATCGTTCGATTAGGAAGATCTTTCTGTATATTGTAGGATATTTACAATAATGCTAATAAATGAAGAATACCCTAAGATGTTCCAGCCAGTTTCTAACTTCAAGGAACGACAGCTCATTGGTCAGGTCAAAAATTAGTAGGAAACCCATGGAATCCCGGTAAAAGGCTGTGGTTAAACTTCTGAACCTGAATATCAACAATGTTATGCTGCTCGCATGGAATGTTAGATCAAAAGTCCTAAGGTTCTATTTGTACATGCAGGATGCAACATTGTGTATATTAGTTAGAATATCTATCGCTGTGCTTATATATATCTTTATGCTTGCTCCTTTTAATATCGCAATGCATTTTCCGCATACGCAAGCTTTTGCAACAACATAATAAAATCATTGTTTAGAAATTACAATATAAACCATAATCACAGCATAATTCACTGAATTACGTCTTTATATCATCTCTATCATGATTACGGCAATGCAATATAAGTACACAATTATCACATTTACTCAAATTAAATGTTAGCTCATGGAAGAATGCAAAGTATGCATATTGAGAATATCATCTAAGGTCACTAAGAATTTGTGAGAGTCCACTGTTTGATGTACTCACCGTTCCTGACCAGCTGTGTCCCAGAGCTGCAAATGCACTCGTCGGTTTCTACCATTTGCCGTTCGATATATCTGTAATAACAAGTGACCTTTACTTATTCGCCAATATAATATAACGCACGAACATATTCAACCATTCCCCATACTTGATATTTTACCTTGACTCATATAGGATAGCGTTAATTACTCAGACCGCAATATCGCATTTCTCAGAATATTCCCAGTATCCTTGAAAACGCATAAGCCTCGAGTAATCAACACTACCGTACGTATTAGACCGCTTAGCCTCTTACCATTCGTTTCTCCTTAAAGTCAATTCCAACAGTGGATATAAATCTGGCATTGAAAGTGCCGTCAATGTATTGATGAAGGAAGCTTGTCTTGCCGACACCGGAGTCACCCAGTGCCAGGAACTTTATCAAATAGTCGTAATTTAGATCCATCTCCGACGCGTTAGGTGATCCTCAATTTGCGAGCATTTCAGCAAGAGAACTCAAGGCTGGTGGTTTTTAGAGATCCTTAAGAGGGTTCTGGAGCGGCGATCGAACTCCAACTCCACGAATAGTGCCTTCATCTGCACCAGGGCTCCAGGGGGTACAGACTTCCCTCTTAAGAAACGTGTTTGTTCGTTCGTTCGGTATATGGCTTTAGGTACAAAGGTGTATCCATATGCCATTCTCCAGCTGCGTTTAATGGAGGATTCACACTGCGTCCGAGGTTCGACGTACGATGTCCGACATCCAATAGGAGAGCAGTTTTCTAATGGAGAATTGAATTCTCGTCGAGAAGTCGGACATCGGACGCAGTGTGAATCCTCCATGAGAAACGAGTGACAAGCAGAGAGGAACCTGACAGCGGCCAACACGGCATTTACGGCGACATCGCGCTAGGAAAGGGTGTCATCTGCATCCATTTTGAAAGGGGAACTACGATGTTACATCCATTTTCAGGTCTCGGCAGTAAAACCTGCATATGGTGGTAGTCCGTGCTACATTTACTTTCAGGCGGTTTATGTCTGTGCTACAACCATAATAATGTACTTGACAAACATGGTCTCGCCCATTGTTATGCGTTTGTAACATGAATTACATGTTAACATGCGCAAAAAAAAAGAAGAATTGAGATTGTGTATGATTAATATCATGAAGATTATATACGATATATATCGTATAAATATAGGATATCCGGTAATTAGCTGCCAACCCGAAGTGTGAAGGTAGATTGGGTTGAGACAAACATAAAAGTCCTATACCGTTTTGCGAGATTCACAATAATTATCGAGTTATTAATTATAGAAATCTGAGGAGTAGGAGCGCGCCGACATACGTGATTGGAGAAATGTTGCAGCTGCTCAGAACAGCGATCATGAATCTTTTCTCTAGCGTGAACTAGTGGAAAATGAAAGGCTTATGTCAATTAGTGAAAAATGAAACATTTTATATGAATTTGTCAAATCGAAACATTTTACACGACAACTGAGTTGTTCAACATGGCAATAATTGAAGAACGATGACAATACTGATTGTTTTAATTAAACGATGAAGATAACGCAAACGTTTAAACCATATTGTATTTCGATTACTAATGCGATACAAGTTACTAACGATATAGAAATATTGTATAAATATATCGTTACTATAATATATCTGTTGCGTTGCTTGAACGTTTCTCACCTTTTCCTTCAACATTCGAATATGCTTCTGTCTCGTTTTAGATATAAAAAGTACGAAAAGTTGAAGCAACACGACAAACCTAACAAGAGCTGCAAGAAATAAAGCACTTGCTTTATTTCTTGCAGCTCTTTGTTACCGCGCAGTGCGCAATGTGACGTAATCAAAAGATTGCACATCAATATCACCAAGTAATTAAAATCTTTTTTAAAAGCGGTACGACAGTTTGCGCACTCGCGCAGTTTGCGCACGGCGCGGTAAATGTATCACGAGTGGCGGAAGGTTTTACGGCACAAAGGACGCAAGCAACAACGATGGGAGTGTCTTCTCCGGAACTGAGAATGACGCGAGAACGTGCCGCCTGAATGTGCCCGGTAAGCAATCGGACATTTCCCGTCAAACGTACTTTTGGAGAAATCCATCAATCGTGAGCTTGTAATATTGGATAAGTCAAGTTTGCCTTTGAATTTCCTCGATGAATTTCCTTTCTACGAGAGAAACATGACATTTAAAATTACCGATTCTTGAGATTTCGGACGTTTAAATAATTTTATTTTCAGTTACTATCAAATATCTTTTGAGTCGTCGATCTTTGATGAAAAATCATACATTTTTTTAGAATTATGGATTTAAAAATTATAAATTTATATAGTTATAGATAAAATCATAATTACGATTAGATCTGAAGATGGATGTGAGAAATCGAAGTGGACTTTTCGATCGTGCAGCTAATGCACACAACTGCCCGATTATCTCCACAATCCGGCGAAATCCGACTGAACCTGAAATTCAAAATGCAGGTATAGGAGCGCGCCTGTCAGCCGAACAAGTCGCGAGCGTGGCGGCGTAGATGACTGAGTGCGCAAGACGCCGGTGTAAAGTTGGCACCTCATTTTGTAGCACCGCAAGTTTTAGCGATAGTTCCATTGGCACCCACAATAGTTCTACAGTTCCTGATAGATTATACCAATAGTTCTGTCGAATTAGTTAACAAAATGGCAGTTTGAAAATATGAGGTGCTAACTTCCCGTAGCACCGCAACTTCCAAAAAAACCAATTTCAGGCACGAAATTTTATAGTTCTAGAATAGTTCTATAGTTCCTGATATGTTTTAGGAATAGTTCTGGCTTCTAACCAATTTTAAATAATTTTTGAAACTCAGCGCCAGCACCGCACCACAAGAGTAAAGTATGAGTCTGCTGCCAGTTCCAGCCGACTTCTGGGTTTCTTTTAGTAGTTCTACAATAGTTCCAACGCTTTAGGTTGGTCCCGCCGCGGGTGCCGGCCTTTAACTATTTTTAAATAATTTTTGAATCTCAGTGCCAGCACCGCATCACAAGAGTAAAGTATCAGTTTGCTGGCAATTTGCAGCCGACTTCTGGGTTTCTTTTAGTAGTTCTATAATAGTTCCAACGCTTTAGGTTGGTCTCATCGCGGGTGCCGGCCTTTAACTATTTTTAAATAATTTACTCTTGTGATACGGTGCTGGCGCTGATATTCAAAAATTATTAAAAAATAGTTAAAGGCCGACACCCGCGGCGGGACCAAGCTAATGCGTTGGAACTATTGTAGAACTACTAAAAGAAACCCAGAAGTCGGCTGGAACTGCCAGCAAACTGATACTTTACTCTTGTGATGCGGTGCTGGCGTTGAGATTCAAAAATTATTTAAAAATAGTTAAAGGCCGGCACCCGCGGCGGGACCAACCTAAAGCGTTGAAACTAATGTAGGACTACTAAAAAAAACCCAGAAGTCGGCTGGAACCGCCAGAAAACTGATACTTTACTCTTGTGATGCGGTGCTGGCTGCAAGTTTCAAAAATTATTTAGAAATAGTTAAATGGCGGCTCCCGCGGCGGGATCAACCTAAAGCGTTGGAACTATTGTAGAACTACTAAAAGAAACCCAGAAGTCGGCTGGAACTGGCAGCAAACTCATACTTTACTCTTGTGGTGCGGGCTGGCGCTGAGTTTCAAAAATTATTTAAAATTGGTTAGAAGCCAGAACTATTCCTAAAACATATCAGGAACTATAGAACTATTCTAGAACTATAAAATTTCGTGCCTGAAATTGGTTTTTTTGGAAGTTGCGGTGCTACGGGAAGTAATCACCTCATATTTCCAAACGGCAATTTTGTTAACTAATTCGACAGAACTATTGGTATAACCTATCAGGAACTGTACAACTATTGTGGGTGCCAATGAAACTATCGCTAAAATTTGCGGTGCAACAAAATGAGGTGCCAACTTTACACCGGCGTCGTCCATGTAGTCGAAAATGTAGGGTTTTGAGAGGACATTATGTTGGTGTCAGACCCAGGCCAGTATCTCTAACCGTTTAGGAGATATCGAAGATTATAGTTTTCCAACCTTTCTCCGTTGATATCTCCGCTTCTACTGGGAGTAGAGAGTCGTACATGTAGTCGAAAATGTAGGGTTTTGAGACGACTTTATTTTGATGCCAGACCCAGGCCTATATCTCTAACCGTTTAGGAGGTATCGAAGATTAAAGTTCTCAAATCTTTCGCCGTTGATATCTCCACTTCTACTGGGAGTAGAGAGTCGTCCATGTAGTCGGAAATGTAGGGTTTTGAGAGGACTTTATTTTGGTGCCAGACCCAGGCCTGTATCTCTAACCGTTTAGGAGATATCGAAGATTAAAGATTTCCAACCTTTCTCCGTTGATATCTCCGCTTCTACTGGGAGTAGAGAGTCGCCATTTACGGCAAAATGTAGGGTTTTGAGAGGACTTTAATTCGATACCAGAGCCAGGCCTGTATCTCTAACCGTTTAGGAGATATCGAAGGTTAAAGTTTTCCAGCCATTCTCCGTCGATATCCAGCCTTCCTCCGTCAATATCTCCGCTTCTACTGGGAGTAGAGAGTCGCCATGTAGTCGAAAATGTAGGGTTTTGAGAGGACTTTAATTTGGTATCAGAGCCAGGCCTGTATCTCTAACCGTTTAGGAGATATCGAAGATTAAAGTTTTCCAACCTTTCTCCGTTGATATCCAGCCTTCCTCCGTCGATATCTCCGCTTCTATTGGGAGTAGAGAGTCGTCCATGTAGTCGAAAATGTAGGGTTTTGAGAGGGCTTTAATTTGGTGCCTGAGCCAGGCCTGTATCTCTAACCGTTTAGGAGATATCGAAGATTAAAGTTTTCTAACCTTTCTCCATTGATATCCAGCCTTCCTCCATCGATATCTCCGCTTCTACTGGGAGTAGAGAGTCGTCCATGTAGTCGAAAATGTAGGGTTTTGAGAGGGCTTTAATTTGGTGCCAGACCGAGGCCTGTATCTCTAACCGTTTAGGAGATATCGAAGGTTAAAGTTTTCCAGCCTTTCTCCGTCGATATCCAGCCTTCCTCCGTCGATATCTCCGCTTCTACTGGGAGTAGAGAGTCGTCCATGTTGTCGAAAATGTAGGGTTTTGAGAGGACTTTAATTTGGTGCCAGACCGAGGCCTGTATCTCTAACCGTTTAGGAGATATCGAAGGTTAAAGTTTTCCAGCCTTTCTCCGTCGATATCCAGCCTTCCTCCGTCGATATCTCCGCTTCTACTGGGAGTAGAGAGTCGTCCATGTAGTCGAAAATATAGGGTTTTGAGAGGACTTTAATTTGGTGCCAGACCGAGGCCTGTATCTCTAGCCGTTTAGGAGATATCGAAGGTTAAAATTTTCCAACCTTTTACCGTTGATATCTCTGCTTCTACTGGTAGTTGAAAGTCGTAATTTACGGAAAAATGTAGAGTTTTGAGAGGACTATATTTTGGTGCAAGAGACAGGCCTGTATCTCTAGCCGTTTAGGAGATATCGAAGGTTAAATTTTTCCAACTTTTTCCGTTCCAACAAATTAACTTGAATAAACGTATGATTAGAATCAATTTTTCTTCTCTTATAAAGAAATGAAAGAATAAATCAGTACCGAAAATTGGAGACCGATCAATAT